TGTCTTGCATATAGGGTTATTGTTACCATCTTTCTAAATTCCATATATATGTGTTAGTATACTGTATTGGTGTTTTTCTTTCTGGCTTATTTCATTCTGTATAATAGGTTGCAGTTTCATCCACCGCATTAGAACTGATTCAAATGTATTCTTTTTAATGGCTGAGTAATATTTCACTGTGTATATGTACCACAGCCTTCTTATCCATTTGTCTGCGATGGGCACCTAGGTTGCTTCCATGTCCTGGCTATTATAAACAGTGCTGTGATGGACACTGGGGTACACGTGTCTCTTTCAATTCTCATTTCCTCAGTGTGTATACCCAGGAGTGGGATTACTGGGTCATATGGCAATTCTATTTCCAGTTTTTTAAGAAATCTCTACACTGTTCTCCATAGTGGCTGTACTAGTTTGCATTCCCACCAAAAGTGTAAGAGGGTTCCCTTTTCTCCACACCCTCTCCAACATTTATTGTTTGTAGATTTTTGGATAGCAGCCATCCTGACTGGCGTGTAATGGTACCTCATTGTGGTTTTGATTTGCATTTCTCTGATAATAGTGATGTTGAGCATCTTTTCATGTGTTTGTTAGTCATCTGTATGTCTTCTTTGGAGAACTGTCTGTTTAGTTCTTTGGCCCATTTTTTGATTGGGTCATTTATTTTTCTGGAATTGAGCTTGCGGAGTTGCTTGTATATTTTTGAGATTAATCCTTTGTCAGTTGCTTTGTTTGCTATTATTTTCTCCCATTCTGAAGGCTGTCTTTTCACTTTGTTTATAGTTTCCTTCATTGTGCAAAAGCTTTTAAGTTTAATAGGTCCCACTTGTTTACTTTTGCTTTTATTTCCATTACTCTGGGAGGTGGGTCAGAGGATCCTGCTGTGATTTCTGTTGGAGAGTGTTTTGCCTATGTTTTCCTGTAGGAGTTTTATAGTTTCTGATCTTACGTTTAAATCTTTAATCCATTTTGAGTTTATTTTTGTGTATGGTGTTAGAAAGTGTTCGGGTTTTATTCTTTCACAAGTGGTTGACCAGTTTTCCCAGCACCACTTATTAAAGAGATTATCTTTTCTCCATTGTATATTCTTGCCTCCTTTGTCAAAGATAAGGTGTCCATAGGTGCATGGATTTACCTCTGGGCTCTCTATTTTGTTCCATTGATCTATATTTCTGTCTTAGTATGGTACTGGCACAGTCTTGATGACTGTAGCTTTGTAGTAGAGCCTGAAGTCAGGCAGGTTGTTTCCTCCTGTTCCATTCTTCTTTCTCAGGATTGCTCTGGCTATTCAAGGTTTTTTTTTATTTCCATACAAACTGTGAAATTATTTGTTCTAGTTCTGTGAAAAATACCATTAGTAGCTTGATAGGGATTGCATTGAATCTATAGATTGCTTTGGGTAGTATACTCATTTTGATAATATTGATTCTTCCAATCCATGAACATGGTATATTTCTCCATCTATTTGTGTCCTCTTTGATTTCTTTCATCAGTGTTTTATAGTTTTCTATATATAGGTCTTTTGTTTCTTTAGGTAGATATATTCCTAAGTATTTTATTCTTTTCATTGCAATGGTGAATGGAATTGTTTCCTTAATTTCTCTTGGTGTTTTCTCATTGTTAGTGTACAGGAATGCAAGGGATTTCTGTGTGTTAATTTTATATCCTGCAACTTTACTATATTCATTGATTAGCTCTAGTAATTTTCTGGTAGAATCTTTAGGGTTTTCTATGTAGAGGATCATGTCATCTGCAAATGGTGAGAGTTTTACTTCTTTTCCAGTCTGGATTCCTTTTATTTCTTTTTCTGCTCTGATTGCTGTGGCCAACACTTCCAAAACTATGTTGAATAGTAGTGGTGAGAGTGGGCACTTTTACCTTGTTCCTGACTTTAGGGGAAATGCTTTCAATTTTCACCATTGAGGATAATGTTTGCTGTGGGTTTGTCATATATAGCTTTTATTATGTTGAGGTATGTTCCTTCTATTCCTGCTTTTTGGAGAGTTTTAATCATAAATGGATGTTGAATTTTGTCAAAGGCTTTTTCTGCATCTATTGAGATAATCATATGGTTTTTATCTTTCAATTTGTTAATGTGGTGTATTACATTGATTGATTTGCGGATATTAAAGAATCCTTGCATTCCTGGGATAAAGCCCACTTGGTCATGATGTATGATTTTTTTAATATGTTGTTGGATTCTGTTTGCTAGAATTTTGTTAAGGATTTTTGCATCTATGTTCATCAGTGATATTGGCCTGTAGTTTTCTTTTTTTGTGGCATCTTTGTCTGGTTTTGGTATTAGGGTGATGGTGGCCTCATAGAATGAATTTGAATGTTTACCTTCTTCTGCAATTTTCTGGAAGAGTTTGAGTAGGATAGGTGTTAGCTCTTTAAATTTTTGGTAGAATTCAGCTGTGAAGCCATCTGGTCCTGGGCTTTTGTTTTCTGGAAGATTTCTGTTTACAGTTTCAATTTCTGTGCTTGTGATGGGTCTGTTAAGATCTTCTATTTCTTCCTGGTTCAGTTTTAGAAAGTTATGCTTTTCTGAGAATGTGTCCATTTCATCTAAGTTGTCCATTTTATTGGCAGAGAGCTGCTGGTAGTAGTCTCTTATGATCCTTTGTATTTCTCTGTTGTCTGTTGTGATTTCTCCATTTTCATTTCTATTTTTGTTGATTTGATTCTTCTCCCTTTGTTTTTTTGATGAGTCTGGCTAATGGTTTGTCAATTTATCTTCTCAAAGAACCAGATTTTAGCTTTGTTGATTTTTCTATACTCTGTTTCTTTTGCATTTATTTCTGCCCTAATTTTTAAGATTTTTTTCCTTCTACTAACCCTGGGGTTCTTAATTTCTTTCTTTTCTAGTTGCTTTAGGTGTAGAGTTAGGTTATTTATTTAACTTTTTTCTTGCTTCTTGAGGTAAGCCTGTACTGCTATGAACCTTCCCCTTAACACTGCTTTTACAGTGTCTCATACGTTTTGGGTTGTTGTGTTTTTATTTCCATTCATTTCTATGCATATTCTGATTTCTTTTTTGATTTCTTCTATGATTTGTTGGTTATTCAGAAGCATGTTGTTTAGCCTCCATATGTTGGAATCTTTAATAGTTTTTTTCCTGTAATTGAGATCTAATCTTAATGCATTGTGGTCAGAAAAGATCATTGTAATGATTTTAATTTTTTTGAATTTACCAAGGCTAGATTTATGGCCCAGGATGTGATCTATCCTGGAGAATGTTCTGTGTGCACTTGAGAAAAAGGTGAAATTCATTGTTTTGGGGTGAAATGCCCTATAGATATCAATTAGGTCTAGCTGGTCCATTGTGTCATTTAAAATTTGTGTTTCCTTGTTTTCTGTTTAGTTGATCTATCCATAGGTATGATTGGGGTATTAAAGTCTCCCATTATTATTGTGTTATTGTTAATTTCCCCTTTCATACTTGTTAGCATTTGCCTTACATATTGCAGTGCTCCTATGTTGGGTGCATATATATTTATAATCTATGCATCTGCTTTTGTGCCACTACTGTACTGGATTTAATTAGTAGCTTTGTCGTATATAGTCTGAAGTCAGAATGGGAATCCTCCATCTCTGTTCTTCTTTCTTAGGATTGTTTGCCTATTTACAGTCTCTTGTGTGTCCATGAAAATCTTAAAAATTGTCCTAGTTTTTGTGAAAAATACCATTGCTATTTTGATAGGGATTGGAAAGGAAGATGTAAACTGTTACTCTTTGCAGATGACATAAGAGTATACATAGAAAAATCCCAAAGATGCCACCAAAAAACTACTAGAGCCCAAAGAATTCAATAAAGTTGCAGGATCCAAAATTAATATACAGAAATATACTGCATTTTATACACTAACAATGAACTACCAGAAAGAGAAGTTAACCTCCAAATTTAAGTAAATTAAAAAACAAAACAAAACAGAAAGAAGTGACCAATCTCATTTACCATCACATCAAAAAGAATAAAATATAAAGGAATAACCCTACCCAAGGAGGCAAAGACCCATAATCAGAAAATGATAAGACACTGATGAAATTGAAGACAACATAAGCCGATGGAAAGATAGTTTTCTTGGATTGAAAGAATACTGTTAAAATGGCCATACTACTGAAGGCAATCTACAATGCAGTGCAATCCCTATCAAAATACCACTCAAGATTTTTAATTGAAAAAGTTGTAGTTTCATATTTTACTTCTACAGATGCTAAGATACCTGAAAATACTAAGAAAATCAGTTTCACATGTTCTATTTATATACACTGTATGAAGTATAGGAATGGTATAGCCACTTGTGAAAAACCACCAGATCTTCTTTGTCTAATTATCCTGAAGCTGTGCATTACACTGTAGACAGTCTTTCTCTCTCTCTCTCTCTCAAGAGCACATGCACACAGTTTGCTTATAACTAGAGGCTTAAAAATCAAGTAGCTTTATTCAATTCCTATAAAAGTTTAAGCAAAGAATATCCAGACATCAAAAATAGTTTGAAGGGAATGGATATTTTCATAAATGTATTCCATTTTGTTGATAATTTGGGGAATAAATAGCCAAGGACACAGGTAATGAGAGTAGCAGGTAACAGCTTGTGTATTGCTTAGTCTATACCATGCTGTACTGACCCTACCTTAAACTGTTTACCTAAGACACAACCTTACATGGTAGGTAATACAATTACCTCCATTTTACAGATGACAAAACAGACCTGGGAGGACAGTTCGCTCCAGGTTACTTCAGAGTCCAGATTAGACCTCAGGCAGTGTGGCTCTAAAATCCCCAGTCTTAATCACATGCTAAGTCTCTTCAGTCATATCCAACTCCATTGCTGCAATGCAATTTATAGCTAAACTAGTTTATCTCCTTGAGGTACTTACAAACACAGGTTTTAAAAAGTTGCTTTTTTTTTAAAAGACCACTACTTGGGGGTACAGTTGCTAAAATATTGCTTTCCCCCCTAAATGTATCTCTAAAGAAAAGAATATCTCCACAAAAATAATTTTGAATTTTTTTAATGCACAAAAAGAACATCCCAGAAACAGAACAAGTATTGATTTATTAACAATGAAGCACTATATAAAGAAGCTCCCTCCCCACTTAGTAAATAGGAATATAGTCTAAATAGATGTGAAAGGAGGTGAACACTTTAGGATTAAATGCAAACCCTAAAGTTGTATACAACATTCATATATGGCTTATCTCATAGCAATATTATTTTCATAATGATGTACATGACATTTATACTTATTGGTAAGATGCTTTTGACTCAAAAGTTAAACACAAATGCAAAGAGGTAGTTTAGCCAATGCAAGGTGAGAAAAAAAGGCTTTTCCCTTGCTTTGTTTTTTCCCTCAAAAAAATCTTCCATCATTCCTTTTGGTTCTAATTTTCTTCTGGATCATCCAGGAAGATGATAATGCTTCTGGAAGAAGCATTATTATCAAAAACCCTCTAAGAACTAATACCCCCTAGTGGACAATGACGTTTTTGAAAACAACTACCCTGAAAATCACCTGGGAAGTCTCCACAGGGTTCCTCTCTCAGTCTTGAAACACAAATTCTGGCTTAAAGGGGCCCTGTTAAGATCTGACCAGTAAGTTTAGGAATTCATCATGTTTTCTCCTCCAATTCTATGCATGGTCTCATGAGGTGGTCATTTCTACACTGACCCAAGAATATTGGTAGGTGCTCTGTCATTGCAAGTCAGGAACTGCTTTAAATAAAACCTATACATATTGAAGTTTGAAAGTAAAAATTTGAAAAATTCTCTAGCTGGCCTGTGAAACTGCATGATGAGTAGTATAAGTAACTGCATGTAATTGCTCATGCAGTTGTGTTTCATAACGTCATCACATCTTAGACTCAAAGGCAGTTTTTGGTTTCTGACCTCCAGATGCCTCATGCTTTAGCTATGGTGAGGAGTGGGGAAGGTCTATTGATATTCAAATTCTCTGACAGGGGTCATTTGATCCTATGTACAAACTAGCTTATCCTATCTTTACAATGAGAAATAAGCCCACAAAGAGAAGTTTCAAGGGGCAGCAAAACATTCGTCAATTCGCAAAACTAGAACAGTCATTTACGGGACAATGGTTAGGAACCACTAGAAACGGGAGACATAACATTAATTGGGTATGACTTGTTACACAGAAGAGAGCATAAATATACAGTAAATAAGAGGTTTATATGCAGCCCCAGCAGGGTATGTACACATCCGAGCTGCTGTGACACTGAGCAGGAATTCCTGCCGCTAAGAGCAGTCTCTGGACACAACAGTTGGAAGGTAACAGATGCTGAGAACAACGTGTGGTAAGACTAGGCAGATATCCACATACACTGATCCTTGAAAATGCACAGTGGGGGAAACACAGGTCACAAGTAAAACAGCACTTTGCCTGCCAAGGGTCGTCCTTCCATAAATATGCACAAGTCAGTTCTCCAGTCGGGTGGGGGGTAGGGGTCTGCAGCCTTGCGCCTCCGGTGGGCAGCCCCTCCGCCTCGGGGCACACAGGGAACCCAGTCACATGCTCTACACTTACTCCTGCTGCCTTGGCTGCAGGCCGCAATCGCCCACCTTCACAGTCTCCCGATGCAAATCAAACCATGAATAAAACAGAGCCCACGCCTGCGGCTCCTCCTTTCACAAGGTTCCTGGGAACAGGTTCTGGTCAGAGCCACGCAAATGCCCCCACCATGTCCAGGAGTGGACAGTAGCTGTGTGCACTTTTGCAGAAAACACCACCCCCTGCCCTCCACCCAAAACAAAACAAAACCTCCACCCTCCGTGTCTTTTATTTTACTGGTTAGCTCTGTCTGTAGCTAGGAAGACGCTGTGTTGCTCCTGGACTCTTTCTATCAGCTTCCTCTTCTTTTTCTTGTTCTTTTTCTCCTTTGCTTTTGGAGTTCTCTTCCCTACGACGGCCGGAAGAGAAAGAAATGAAGACATGTCAGAAAAGGCTCTTGCTCTCGGAAAGAAAACACAAAACATTAAGAGTTTTACACAAAGCCCATCTGGAAAACATCACCTATGGAAAAAGCAGCCTCAAAGAGAAAATTGTTCACATTAATTTTGATGGAATAATAATAATTTACTAAATTGGATATGCTGTCTCAGAGACTGATCTTCCCGTTACAGGGAACTGGCATATTTAAAAACCTCCCAGCGGCCTGATCAGTCTTGCAAATATCATTCTGCCACAAAAATTCCATTTATCCCCTCCTCCTTTTAACAATGCTGCCCTGTACTAGACATCTTTACATCTTTCTACTGCTCCACATGTCAGTGGGTCAAAAGAAAATAAGCATTTATCTACAGTAAATATACCAGAAGTTTCAACCGCCCCTCTCCCTGCCTCAAGGGAGAAAAAAATGTCTAACTTTTAACATTATTCCCTCAGTGTTCTCCAAAGGCCAATATTTGAAATGACATGTGTGGAATACCTCTTTATTTTATATAAAAATTCATGAGGACATCATTTATTATGTGATTTAATGGCTTTTTATATCAATCCTCCTAACCAAGGTATTCTTACTGAGAGCAATAAAAATGCTTGTTTCTGAGGAACTGGTAGGGGTGTGTCTTACTACCAAAAGACAATCACACCCTGTTACTCCTGTTTCTCCTCTTCACCTTAGCCACTAGGAACCCCAGACCACAGCTAAATAGTTGAGGTTTTCCTCCATCAGGAGTTTGGGGATGCAGTTTTCCCTTGGTCTCTGCTGTATTTGACTTCTTCCACTTTGTGGTTACCACTTTCAGTCTTCGTAAGGTATCAACATTTCTTTGCAAGTATGTCTACATAGAACTGTGAGAAAAAAGAATAAGGAACATAGATGTTTGCTTTAGGTCCTTTGCCCTCTTTGGGCTCTAAGCACATAGGAATCATGGGACTTTTAGAACAGGAAAGAGCTTGAAAGTTCATCTGCATTTGTAGTTTGGTACTGTACGCCTTCAGTACAGGAAGGTTCTTCCTCACAGAGTAAAAAGAATCCTCCTGCCAGCTCTTTTTCCTCTTCTACCTGTTCCTAGTTCCAATTTTATCATGTAGTTGCACAAAACGTAAGATTTCTCTTCCTGTGAGGTATAGCTGTTCAGTACCACAAATAGAACATTCCATTCTAATCCATGATCTCCATCCTTCCTACATCTAAGAAATCCAATATTCCTGAGATCCTTTTATTACACAGACATAGCTGGTCAGGTTTTCAATCCAGACAGTGGAGAAGGTGGCTGATGACACCAAATGGAAAATAAACAGACCAGAGGTTAGGATGGTACATACGTGCTGTAGGAAACTAGAGTCATCCAAGATTAAAGGAGGTCAGGGACTTTCAAGTGAGGGAGGTGGTTCTCATTTCTCCTCTTTCTGATCAGAAATGGCCTGTTTTGTTTGAGAATGGAAGATAGTCTCACGCATGAGTTTCTGGCACACGGTAGACACACAGTTGGTATTCAATAAGTACAGCTTTTTATCGCAAGAACAAAGATAGGACGCTATAGTAAAATAATAAGAACATAAGGGTGCCCTCATATTAAATTCTAAATGTCCTTGAAGTTAACTTCTGGTTCTCATTAGATTCTGGCGTTAATGTTATAATGGCATTTTGCCATTTTAAATGTAGTTAATCCTACCCAATGAAACTTTAGTGGAAGTCTTCATTAATCAAAGAAACTGTAAAGTTACAACTATTTAGTAACACTGTAACTAATGATAAGACACACCTAATGAGGGCAGAGAAATATTTAACATAAAATAGCATATTTTAAAAGAAGTTCCACTTATAAAGTTTTATGAAGGTTTTCTTAGTTCTATGTTTTCTCTAAAAAAAAAATCTTTTGTTAAGAAAATTCACTGCTGACTACCAGTTAAAAATTCAGTCCATTTCTGTTTCATTTATTTAAAGGCTGGAATTTCTTTTAGAATCAAAACAAAATTCAATGAAAAAAATATTTATGAAAATGTTTCTAGATTTTAAATTTTGTTAAGATATATGCTGAATATGCATTATTTAAAGAAAACATCACAATCACCATTTCAATTCTTCATATAAATTATGTAGTTGAATGTTAAATGTTCCCTACTTTCACTAACAGCATATCTATACTTAATGACTGAAAAGAGAAGGTTACATTCATGTCACTTACCTAATATATTATTTTGATGTAACTGTAAGTTGATGTAACTGTAAGTGCCAAGTGGTTTTTGTGTTTGCTGGCTGATAGAACACTGTGTGGTAGGGAAGTTACTCAGTATTTGCATAAGGCAGAAAATTCAGAAATGCTTCTGAAAACTTATTATATGATTGTTTGATTATCCCACTGGTAATAAGTTATATGGTACTGGTTCCAACTAGAGATGTTTTGGGAGATTTTATTACAACCCTAAAATTTTGCCTTAGATCTCTCTCTTAAATGACATCTCTGTGCTATTGGTTCATTGCTTGGTTTTGTTTTTGGTCAGCCCTATTTCTCATGTAGGATATATTGCAAATGCCAAAGGCTTAAAGCTGGTTAGCCAAGATTTAACCATGGACAGTTCTAAATGAACTGAAAACATTTTGTGGTCCATAGTAGGTTGTTATGACTTTAAACCAACTCTGAGTAATAAACGATTAAAACATAACCTACCATAAGGTATGAAAGGGGTCTTGCACACATTTTCTGAACTCTACTAAGATTTTCAGATATAAAGAATTGGGAAGATTAAACCTAATAAAATATATATTTTTGAAGGTAAGTTATATTGGACATGTGAGCATGTTAATTCATTTCCACTTAAGTTCTCAACATCTGTGACTATGAAATTAGACTCAGAGAATGAGTTCTGTACTTTCAGATTGTTTTACATTATCAAGCACATTCACCCTGAGCATTTAAGGTCAAATATGATGCCAGTCACCCAAAGAGTAATTCAACTCATGAACCTAACTTTCTTAGTTCACAAGAGAAAATGTCCTGCCCAAGATGAGCAGAAAAGGTTTGAGTTTTATGAGGAGGTTGTCAGCCTTCAGGTATGTTCAACTTGAGTGAAAAATTCTGCATATACTGGGTACTTGAGAGTGGCCTAAGTCACTATTAGAAGAATCTCTTCAAGATCAGGCAGAATTTGATCTACAGAGCAAACATCAACAGCCCTGTTATGTAAATGCAAGAAGATGACTGGACCAGATATTACAATTTTTAAGGAAAACATTGCATTTAATAGAGAAAGGCCCCTCTGAGAGGAAAGAAACCCGATAGGTAGGCAGTCTTATAACTGAGTTGTCTAGTAACACATTATGGCTGTGACTTTCAGTTTCTACATTTATAAAATGAAGATACTACAACCATCTTTCCCCTCGAAGCTTATGAGGCATATGTAAAAAGGTTGTGTTCCTAGGATGAAGAGATGTGTAAAATATCACAAGCAAGACATGATTATCATCAAAATGAACAAAGTTAGAAGGATGCTATCAAAGCTACACTAACCAACATAGTGACATTGACTTGCACACATGTGGAAATGGTCCAGCAGGATAACCTATCAACTCTTCTACAGAAAAAGGTGAATAGTCCCTTATGGAAATACTCGTAACATCTAGCTGTAGATTGCTGCTATTAGGATCAGAAATAGGATAGATTATTTTGAACCAAGGTATCAGTCAGACTCACAAATTACATGAAGCTGTGAAAATACTGGCTCCACTGCCAGTGAAACGTGAATTTCATTCTTTCAGAAGCTCCCTAATTCAAGGAAGGTCTTCAAATGATTTTTCCTCTTATTAGATTTAGTTAAGAGTCTTTTCATCATAGGAACAATGGTTCTTGTACATATATCAGTAACATACAAAGGCTGTCTAGGGTTTACATCTTGATTACTAAGTGCTTTGAGAAAGATTTCCTTATGGTAAATACAATACAAAAAAAAATTGAAAAATAAATTCACCCTTGATAGTATACTTGTTTCAATGCTATTCTCTCAGAAAATCCCACCCTCGCCTTCTCCAGATCACCAGCCCAGGTTGGGTGCATGAGACAAGTGCTCAGGGCTGGTGCACTGGGAAGACCTAGAGGGATGGGATGGGGAGGGAGGCTGGAGGGGGGATCGGGATGCAAAACACATGTAAATCCATGGCTGATTCATGTCAATGTATGGCAAAAACCACTACAATATTGTAAAGTAATTAGCCTCCAACTAATAAAAATAAATGAAAAAAAAATTCAGTAGCTGTGACTATGGAAAAAGATAAAAGCTTCTCTCTGTAGACACACATGTACACACACAACAGGGCAAAGTAAGCCACATCATGCAAATGTAATTGACCATAATTACTATTGTTATAGCCACAACTATGACGACGAGGCTAATCACCTGAAACCAGTACCAATTTTTACTAAATTTTAATGATAAGTCTGTGATGTTGACTTGAAACCTGGGCTTCACTGTATTTATGAAATTCGCTATGGGGACTTGGGAGTCACCTCCAGTGATCCTTCAAAGCAGCTGAAACTGAGGACTAGAAGTCTGTAACTACTGACTCAATGAATCTTAGACTTCAGAGGGGGTGCTGGATGCATAACATAAGGTTGCTTCACATCTAAAGCCACAAGGACTGAGATGTAGACAATAAACAGAAATTGGGTTATTTCTCTTTTTTTGTATGAGCAACTTTAGTTTGCCTAATAGCAAACTAAAGCAACTGAGATTTATTTATTTAAAAGTGATTGATAATTCTCTGGAAAAGTGCCAGCTGCCTCCTGAACTACTTTAAAAGCTAAAAATAGATAAAAGACAAATATAAGTCATAAAGTAAGTAAAATAGCTATTAGGTATATTTCAAGAATCAAATCTCATAATTAAAACCTCCAACTAGGATGAGCTGTCACTGCAAAAATTCTTAAAATATGTAAAAGCTAGTGAGAATGTGGTAAG